ATGTATTCTTTGGGACTGTCTGTTAAGGAAAGATGTGCCCGAGAAAGGTGTTTATTATCCAAGCGCTTTAGGCGCGTGGCTCGGTTAGTGTGTGGGCTTATCTTCAAGCTGTTACCGTCCGTCCACATCTCCAGCAGTGTATGACAGGGATGCCTGCTATCACCTTACCTCTTTAAATTCGCGGTTGATGAAGTCATGGATATCGCATGCACCAAACACGGATTAGATGTGGAGCTGTTCTGAGGTGAAAGATTTCTTGATTTAGATTAGAAGGACGGAATTTTCCTCCCCTATGTAACTGCTCACAAACGTGCCAAACAGCACTGGACGGATGAGTACTGGCTGGCAGTCGTTTCAGTCTTTGCTTTTTGCCACCAAATTGCAGGGCTTTCCTCCAAGATTGGCATGGACCGCTTCCTGCGCTGACCCTCGGTGGGATTCGCTGAAAGTCCTTCAGCAGTTCAACTACTCTTCTCTTTTATTGCCCACTCCGGATCTACCTGCCCAAAAGCTCACCGCTGATTAGTGGCTCCACTGATACATCGATGGGTTGGAGGTCCAGTCTTCTGTTATCCTCTTCATCCCATCTTGGCTCACTATACTTCCCCTTGCTTTTACTTGGCTCCACTGCAACCATGTGTCAGTTGAATCACTGGCAACTTGGTTAGCTGGACTCCCAAATCCGGTTAACTATCTCTCCAGTCATAACTTCACTTCCGTTTCACCCGCTGGCACACCTACCATTCGTTTGTGAAAGCACTGACGCTTTGGTAGGTAAAGCACCCGGATCCTTTCTTTACATCTTCAACCCACCTTGCTCCCCAACACTTGGCTTCGGTTTTCACTTGACCGTATCTTGCTGGTGAATCAACCGACACATTGTCAACATCGATATGTTTACCACTCAGGACTACTGTAACCTCGTAAACATATCACTGGCGTTCGGTTGGACCAATTCCCTGCATAATCAAACTCCTAGCGCAGTTAGCCAAACTACTAAAGGTTCGGCATTCTTGTTCACAGCCCACAACCCACACATCTTAAGTAATCCGAAATCCGTATTGCGCCTCCTAATTGTAAACAACATCTGCAATACAATAATAAGGTAGTTGCTTACATATTTCCCTTTTTCACTGTGCAATAATGTGGACTTATTTTTCCCTGTTAGCCAGACCCATACTGCTGTTCCTTATGCTGAGTCCAGAAATTTGGTTGCGAGACCCTCCCCACACTATATTATTCTCGATTCCACACATGTACACAATTCCCTAGGAAGTTTTCGGCCTCCATCGCACTAATACTTACTAATACTTGCTATTTCCCTTCTATTTACGTTGATCCGGACCACAACTCGTTCAACGGTACGATGAGATACTTGCTACCGAAGAAAGTTGGATCTGCATAAGAATAAACTACAACTTGAATCCAATCCCACTCAATACGAATCTCCTCGCGTCCGATAAACAATTTCAGTTTCAGAGAAAATTTGTACATAATGATCGGTCCAGGGTCTCTGGAACGTGTCTCACCTTTCTGAGAAATATACCTATTATTATTATTATTACCTAGGCCGCTCTATCCTAGCCGGTGGTTACTAAAGCGTGGTTACAAACCGTTTAGCAAAAGAACGAGGCGTTTTTGCTAACCTTCGCCACGTATGGTCCGGGCATGTCATCACTCTCCCTGAAGCGTAGAACGTAGGATGCATCCGTACGTTCGACCTTGCTGCACTGTTGTGCAACCTGGCCCATTAGATCGGCAAACCTAACGTGCCTAGTTACGTTCGATTACTGGTGTCTTCGCAGCACAGCTCACATCTGGTGGGAACACCACGTGAGCACTGAGCCTGTTTGACGCCTTGTTTATGGTACGGGGAGAGGAAATGAACCCATCAGCAACGTTATGTCACGCACCGTGCTCCGATGGCTGGGCCACGTGTTGCGCATGCCAGCCCACCTAATCCCGCGTTGTGCGTTGTTTGTGTGACTGGGCTTCGGAAGGAAAAAGAAGAGGGTAGGCCAACCGGTGACTTGATTATGATTAATGAGGGTCTGTAGTTCGAAGTTGGCCTTGCTTGGAGCCTCCTAGCTCCCTGGTTAGGGCTCGAAAGACGATGAACACATTTGTTTGGATACATTTTTGATAAGGATAGAAGCCGACCATAGTAGCGTTTGTTTTCTAAATTTTTTGTCCCTCCCCATCCAGCTTAGCCACCTCTCCCACCATGAGCTCCTTTCTGATGGATAATATAACCTTTTCGCTGCACAGTAGCTGACTGCTGCTGTCCATCCGGTACTGGTGGATCAACTGGCGTGCCGCTGTTGCATTTCTCCTTTTCTTGTATATTTCGGCATGACAGCTGAGCTCTTTTCCATATCAACCTTACGTGTATAATGATGATGATGATGAGGTTTGAAAGGACCGCGATGTATACACACTTCTACGCTTAGCATACAACCTGTCAAGCCACCGTCCAATGATGGCATGAATCGCACTTAGCGGAGCAACTATGCTGTGAACATTTCCCCGGACGGCAAAATTTTATTTCATTGCGAGCTCTCATAAATTGCTTATTAAAGCTGTGACTTTATACATTTACTTCCGCGATCTGCATTACTTCATGTAAAATCTGTCGTCTTCTGATCGTACCAAAGTTTTTTCAGTGCGACTTCCATAGGGCACCTCAGTGGTCCATAGGTCTACTTCGTCCTGCTACCTTGCTGCGTAGATCGAGAATTCTTACGCCATTCGTCGTCCTTGGGTGTCACATTTTGTATATTTCACTGTGGTCTCCGTTTTCACTAGCCACTGTGCTAAATGATTGTCTATAAACAAGTCATGCTGACGGTCCCTGTCGCCTGTTATCGTTGATATGTATTTTACTGACCGCTTGTCGAGCGGCATCTACAATGCTTGGAAGAGAGTAAAGCGGATCGCCTTCCTTCACAGCGAGCCCGGTGAAGAACAGTCGCAACTGGTCTTTATGTGCTATGTCCTGGTTGGAGATATTTATTCCCACACTTCTTCTGTCTCTATGGTGGTGGTAAGCAATCATTGAGGACATCTATGTCTCCATCCTGGTCATGTTTGGCTCGCAGTGGACCACCCATGTCTCTTCTCACATGCCAATCTGCCCGGTGTAAGCTCGGAGTACTGATGGCAATTAAACAGCACCTCTGTTGAGGTCAGTGTACACTCCATTAATGCCCTTATACATGCACCCTGGTGTAATGACAAGCCTCAACTACCGCGTACGCAGCAGGTGTTGCGAGAGGGCTTTCGAGTCCCGTTTGGGAACACTTGACTGTTGTTAGTTGGGCTTCCGCTGGCCTCCCACACATGTCGGCCGGTGACCGAGAGGATTGCACGCCTGCGTCGTAGACCTGAGGTCGTGGTTTCAAATCCGCCAGCCCGAGTCCTCGCGTGGGTGGTTACCTTATTCCCCCCCCTCCATAGTTATACCGCGGCACTGGTCTCAGAATCGTATGCCTTCTATCCATTGGAGCCTACATTCAAGGTGGTGTTACCAAAAATGCAATCCCTCTGTTCACTCACGTGTCATGCGCAATCCGAGGTAATCCACCGCTTGAAAGAGACAACTTGTTGTGAGTTTAAACGTCTTTTTTCCCAAGAAACCTACTAAACCAGGTTTCCATATTCCATCGTAGTCACCAAAAGATCCGTCACTCTTGCGTCTAGTTACACAGGTAGTTGATTTCTTTGTCCTTTATTCCTGCGATCTCTCTATCATCGGCACCAGTACACGTTAAATTCAATTAATGCGCCGCAATCCAAACAGATAATATGTATGAAAATTCGAGTTATATGACTTTACAGAATATGGTATGAAAACCGAAAAGGTGATATGGTCATCAATTTCATATTACGCATGGGGTCTGAGAACATGGTTGCAAGATGGGGATAAGCGGGACGGAAGGGACAAAGACACTCACAGCACAAACACCACTGAGATCGGCTCTTTGCCAAGCCAACAAGTGGGCTGTCTATTATACGATATATATCAGTAGATTTTGGGCGAAACATTCCTTCTGAAAATTAAGAGCGTTCAGATTTCAACTTTCACTCAATCTGCTTTTCCGTAGAATATTTTTTCATTTCAAAACTACTAAGATCTGTCCTCAAACAAAAAGAGTGAATAATATTGAAATAATAATAATTGAAATAATTGAAATAATAATAATAATATTGAAACAATATTGAAATAACAAACGATTCGCTACGATTGCTGAATTTTTGTCAGCATTGCTCTCATGTAAGCTACTTCAGAACTAAATGTGAACCAGTCGCTTAAGCTCAGCTGGCTGCGCCCAAATCTACAAGCTTATGAATTATCGGCCGGTTTATGTGTCACGCAGATTATTTTCCGGTGTCTCCGTATCCTTATTTCATTATAAACGTAAATCAACTGTCTCCGCAGTCTAGTCACTCATTCCAGTAACAGCTCACGTCATCACCGTTGACTCAGAGGCCTCACTATTGCCAAGGTAACGGACAAACAACACTGCTTTCTGATTGGCTGGAGGAGCCGAAGGGAGTTTCCCCTTTATCCGTCATCCTCCGACCACTCCCCTTTACATAAAAAGCCTTGACAATTCACTAAGCTGAATGGCACGACTTCAGATGAAAAGGAGCTGGAGGTTTTTCGTCTCTTTGGCACCTTAAAACCCTTTGTTTGAGTAGAAATTCATCACATCTAAACTCAGTCGGACAGCAATCATACATCCGGAAAAACACTGTGCGACCGTTTTCTCCTTTCTTTATCTAGGTGTCCAGTCTAACAGCCCGCTCGTTTTGTATGCGTTTGACCAACTTGGTGTTTAAATCCCTGGCGTCAAATTTAAGTCCCGTGGATGGTGTAGCTCGTTCCGTTGAACAATTAGGCCTACATGCCCCTTGGTTTGCGCTGCTGGGTTTTGTAACCCACTCATGTTTACATCCTGTGATACGACTTCGCTTTTCTGATTCCTCTATACAAACAGCTTGGTTGTCTCGGATGGCGATCGGCGGAAAGTCCAAAGAGCCAGCTTGCGTTGTCGTATCGTGGAGCAGAACCGCGTCGCTACGAATCCCATCATCACTTCACCTCTACCACGGACGAATCTACCCGCGACTCCAAGACCTCACGACCACCTCCAGCTGAATCAGGAGATAGATTATATAAAAGGGGGCGCCCAAAAACGGGGTCTGGAGCTGATGCCCTGCTTCGCCGGTTACGAAAACGGTCGGTGCACAAGGGTGGGCCCACTTTGAACGACAGTGACCCTTCGCCTTCTTGTCATCCCCACACCAGGTCCCTCTCTGAGTCCCAAACGGGTGATTTTTTCTCTAATGTGGACACCGAGTGGCAGCTTCCCACCAAATCCGCCTTTGATTCGCATTCAAGCGCCAGTCGATCCATTCTGTCTGTTAAGAGTGCTCCCGAATTTACGGAGGATGTTTCATCAGTAAGAGTTAGATTATATATTTTTATTAACCAGTGGAATCCGAAACAACGTTTTGAATGGAGTGCCACCATCGATGCGTGTTTCACCCACAGAGTAACTTTGAATTTCAGCATCGGTTATGGCTCTCATTCGGACGTTTTAATTGAGAGTTTATCTATTGCTTCCAGAAAATGTTCTCAAAGTACACTAGTCTCAGCTCTGAAGACCCAGTTCAAGTTATCTTGCTGCATGGTTACGACACTTGGCACGTTACTTTCAGGCAAGATACATGGCGACCATCATCTCTTAAAAATTTACTCTTAACTACGTTTGTTTTGTATTGCTTGAATGAATCTGAACACAATATGGACGAAGTGATCCCATTTGGAACACCTCTTCTGCGACTGGACTGCGAAGCGCAATTCCACTGGGGACCGCGATTCCCATTGAGTTAAACTCTGGTCCACATTGACTGCGCATTCCACAACGTGTCTTCAAATGACCGTCCAATCAGTACTTAACTGTTGTGCCAAGCGTTGCACATTGTGACTCGGTGGCTTAAGTCGTAGAGGTTTCAACTGACATCCCAAAAGTCCCCGGTTGGATGCCCGTTATCTCTACCTGAGGAGAGCACACAAAGTTGAAACGCGTAGTGGATTGCAGTATTTTCGGTGGGGCAACACCCAATTCCCATTCGCTTCAACTGCGGTCCTTGTGATCGAATTGCCTAAGGTTCGCTTCAATGCGAAGTACGGTTGTGGTGGCAGCTGACGAGCAAGCAGCAATGAATCTAGGCCGGCCTCTTGCTTGGTTAAACCAAACCGATGACACTGCGTAGCTAATTGCTCTGAAATGCCGAGAGCAGCGCTCAAGTGGATGCCACTAGAGTAACGATCGGATGGAATTTGCTGATCCGTGAGTTGTTCTGATTGATACGAGGTATAGCATGAGCATGGTTGGGATAGTAGAATGTTGATCGGGGCACAGGCTTGGTTTTCGATTCACAGACGGTCATTAAGACAACGGTCCACATTGAGGTTGCGCGTCGCAATCCAGTCAAACAGCGAGCGCTCTAAATTACCCCTCCAATCTGTCAGTAACCGTTGTGACAAGCGTTGTTCGTTGTGTCCCTGTGACTTACAGGGTAGAATTTTTAACTAACATTCCAAAGTCCTCGAGTTTGCATTGCTGCTATCTCTACCTTCTGGCTTCAAGCATTTTCGAAGCTAGTCTTGGATTGCACTGGTTTTGGATGTGCTACACCCAAGATACTTCTGATCCTAGTAGTGTAAATTCACCGCGTCGATGACGCTGGTCCCCGTGAGTCTATTTCAACAGAGTAATCAATCGTCTCATTGACGACAGTTGCCACCAGGAGCTGTCCACGTTGCTTTCTGCCTTATGCTACGCTGTCATGTTGTCTACTAGCAAGCAGAACTTAGAGCGCATAGGAGGCACACGTGGCGCTCACGTCTCCGTTTGAGCAAAACGTCAAAACCGACTCAGTCCCATCAGCTGGCGCATTCTGGCATGTAAGTGAGCAACTTGTGTAGAGTCTATCAATCTAGTTGCTAAGTTGAAGGCGTGTTTGACGTTTATGGATCACGTGCATACGAAAAAGCGCCTGATGATCCGAGTGGTACTTTTCAACCAGTAACTTTCGCGCCAATTCGTTCCATTAGGTATTGGGTATAGCGTTCTAATCGAGCTTTTCGCCGACTGAACTCCCTAAGCACAATCGATTTCTGTGTTCTTCCTAATAAAGTGGATCTATCCGTTTGTTACCGCAGCTATGTGCAATAGAAGGATGAGTTTATTCGGGCAGAAGGCCAGTTCCATAGTTGAAAAGAGTAAGACTAAAATACAAATATGCCGACAAAAACAACTCGCATTCACTAGGCAATTAACTCCGTTAAACCCTACTCCACTCTGGATGTAGATGATATCCCTCTATCGGGAAGTTGACATACCACGGATTTTGTTGGACATGTTTACCACTTCTCTGGAATCAAACACATTCGCAGGTCCATGGAAAACTTCATTTATCATCCCTCGTTTCAAGGGTGGTCCCAAACAGGAATAGGTCAATTATCCACCAATCCATCAGACTCCTATATTCTCCAGTATTTGAAACTTGGTTAAAAATAGTGCCGTGAAGTCCAACATCATCTTGGAGATGATGTATACTTTCCAGAATAGTTCGTAAGCAAACTATCTTGCAGTACCTTCCGTCTATGCCATTTAAATTAAAGATCGATTCTAGTGAATTCGTATATGCAATTGCCATTTGAGCTAGTGCTTCATAAACGATTACTGTGAAAAATATCTTTAGAACCACTACTAACTTGGCGGTCATCATACCTGAACAGTCGTTCTCAGAAGGTGACCTTAGGTGACCACCGCTCTTCCCAGCTTCTGAGTACCAGTGGTTTTATCCAATGAATTGTACTCGATCCATTACTCTGCTTGCTTTAGATCCACGACCTGTATGGTTAGTATACACTGTATGCCATTCTTATTTTGCGGATGATAAAATATTGTCTAAAGGATCTGTCGACCAAAACTTCATTGCAGGCTATTACTGATTAGCGATGATCTTGCACTCTCTTTAGACATGGTGTGACACGTTGATGATGAATTTCTCCAGAATGTAATCAAGTACTTTGTGTCGCGATTGTTTGATACCCGTAGAATCCATCACACTCAACAGCGATTGCCTTTATGTATAACTATATACCTGCGCATGGTGCTGTAGCACATGCGGTCGAGAGTGTCTGAGTCAGGCAGGCCTAGTGAGCCATGAGTGAGGCCACTCGGGACCACTACCGAAGCGACGACGGGTACTGCAGAGAACGTAGGCACAACCGACGCAGCGTTTGTAGGCACGCTGCATTCGATTTACTAACCGCGTGATTGCATGCTAAGTCCATTTATTTCTGGTGGTGGGTTTTAAATTTTATCCCAATACTTTTCTTTCTCATATAAATGTCTACTGTACTATCTTCTATATAAAGTTGCACACGTCACTTAAGCCAATTGTAGTTAATTTGATAACATTTTCGTACTTGTGTCATTCCCGTTAAATATACTTTCTGACCTCGCGAACTTATCTCGGATTCTTTTGTAAACAACTTGTATCATATGCTCATTAATGTAAGATTTATGTCACCGTTTCCTTATACATTACTCGATTTATTTGCTTTGTTATATTTCTCTCAAGTGATTGGCTGTTGCTTAATGTCCGCAGTGTGGCTGCGCCTGGTGTGCATGTTGACAAGGTGCCTACCTGTCTATTACCCACTACCTCGTCCATACTGGCTCTAGAAGACGGTCGTTGCTGGAGGGGACGGGGTGCACGGTCCTTGTGGTCGTGCTATGCTCCAAGAGTGGTTCCATGCACTCAGTATGGAGCGGACTACGGTCCAGCCACCGCCTTGTGTGCGTTTGATTCTCAAATACAGCGTGCTTGTGTTTGCCTGTGAAGGAGTGTGGGCCGGCTCCGTTGATGAAACGTGGCTCCCATCCACATGCCTCTCGGTCTTATTACTTCGGGTTTACACTGGAAATTGGGTGTGTGTTTGGAGCTGTGGGTGGTGCAGCGCAAGCCACTCATGGTCCCTCTGTAGGCGCAGACGTCCTGTGGCTGTCCATAGTGACATGCAAATCCGAAAGCGGATGCCGCTAACCATACCTGCGGTCTCGAAAACGGATATCCCTGTACCTTTAAATTGGCAGAACGGGGCTAGACGATCTGTGCATGATATATCCCACAGGATCCATTTAATCCCGTGTAAATCGAAACTATTAAAACCATGCACATCGTTCTCGAGTGTTGCAGTGTACTTTTTGGGGGCATGCGGAAAACTGGTAGAACAGTCCTGGAAAACCTACAGAACTGGTTAACCGAAATTCGTTTAAGAAAAAGTTCCACCAAGAACTGTCGACAGCTATGCCCACAACTCCATCTCTATCCGCCTCGGCAACACTTGATTCTGTTGTACGATCGGATTCATCGAACAACATGTTGCAAACAGACTGCATTAGAATTGCTGCAGAGTTCGACCGAGATGCCGGACAAATATACGGTCCAATTGCTTACTTATCAGACATGCTGCCTTGTGCAATCGTCTCCCAATTCCTATCAGATCATATGAAAGGGCGAGAGCATTGCATAATAAGTTGAGAAGTTGAGAAATGATCGTGGCCCTGCACTCATGGAGGAGATCGCGCCTGTTGAACTGTTTCCAGCAGACCCAAGTAGCATTTAATTGATGAATTAGAAGTAACTCACACAATGTGATTACAAAATGCTCAAAGTCCACCCCTACCATGCGCTACACAATAAGACATCAACTTGTGCATACTAACTACTGTTGTGTGGGTGCAATCGGAAACTTAAACTATGTGCAACTTCATCGGAATAGGATCAAAAGTGTTGTAACAATATTTGTCATTTGTTGATACACTACTCGTTCTTCTGCTTATGGTGTAACGTTTAAAATGTCGGAATTCGAGTATCGCTGAACTCACATATGTGAGATGTGATTGTTGTAAATCTAACAGTTATGAACTGCTACACAGATGTGGCACCCACGACGCCATGGCAGACTGTACCAAATATTGACCACTCGCCGTTCAAAGCACAGGGGATGGAGAACTGGCTTCAGATCTAGAACCACAAGGTTGTGCGCTGTAAGTAGTTCGCAAATGGAGCAGCCGCCTTCACAGGAGAGCCACTGAGATGTGAGGACACTTTTCAAACGGGCCCAAACACACTGTACCACGCTGCAGCTGAGAAAGGCGGAGAAAGACAACCTATTTAACATGTTTCAGCGGAGTTCGTACCTTAAAAGTTTTATTCTACGCTGCCTGAAGTCGAAAAATCAACCACCGCCCACTTCCGCAAGCACCACGGAAAGGAAAACTTTCGCCCTACCTTACATCCATTGGATTTCTGAGATGGCAGCGAGGCTTCTAACGTCTCACGGGATCAACGTTGCACTTGAAACAACGGAAACTAT